TTTTGCATTTTCTTGATGCTTGAGGTCTCAAGAATATCTGGTTAAAATTGCAAGTCAATATCTCGATAAATAACGAAGTTACAGCCGAGAGAGTAAACCGTCTCCGAGAGCGCGCCGTACCGCCTGTTTTGCGGCCGAGCCGAGAGGCAGCGACCCTTCGAAGAGAGCGTGTCTAGACCTGTTTTACGATTCTATTGTGTTTTCGGGCGTGGTCGGGTCCAGGTATAACGGAAATATCACACGACCGTTATTCTTTGCCGGAAATTGGACGCGTTTCGTCAGTAGCTTGCCGTTCGTGCAACTGTGCGTTACAGTGAGTTTTTGTATGTGAATACATATTCTGAGGAAAATGGATAACAGATATAAAGGTTCTCGGGAAGCTCATCAATCCGGATCTTTTCGCAAAGATCGAAGCAAGAAGAAGATACCGCCCAAAAATCGAAATACTGCCGAAAAAGTAGAACTTTCCGACGAGAATATTAGTTCCAGTGCCAAAAAATTGAAGACTGATCGTGAGACATCCGCACCAGAAGATCCAAACATCGGGTATCGAATTTTGAATTTTCTGGCAGTGTTTTCTGCCTTATCGGAATGTGTAAAATGCAAAAAGGATACACACAAAACAGCAATGAGAGCTTCAACCAACTTATTTGGAAGATAGCTCCAAAAACGATGCACAGCGGGGCCAAAATTGTTAACATTGCTGCATTTCTTGCAACATGCACGTTCAACAATGGTGTCACGTCATTGTTAGAAATTATGAACGTATTAGGAATATCAGTCGGATCGGGCGCGCACTTGTACGCTGCGCAAGAAGACGAAACTCGCATAGCGAAAGCCGAGCTGCAAGCGCAAGAACAGACTAAAGAAGGTCGAATACGGCGTCGACAACAAAATTTAGAAACTATGAACATTCCGTCGACCGTAGAAGACTTACACTATGGGCCTGGTATCGATGATTCCATGTAAGTTGACAAATTTAATGATTTATTCATTCCCAAATTTTCAAACGCGTTTTTCTCAAAACCACGTTTTTCAAATCGGTACCCAAAATTTCTCGAAAACCAATGAACCGATTGCCTTGAATTTTTTTGTGGTTATTCTATACATCATTATCTAGTACTTGTCATGGGATTTTTTTTTTCGTTGCTTAGTTTTTGTTTTATAGGCAAAATAATAACTAATTTTTGGTCGAAAAATCGCTATGTTATGTTCAAACGTCCGCCATTTTGTCATAAATCGATATTTTCAAAATCGGCTATGACAAGTACTAGATTATAGTATCTAATTTAATAATCTTTTTGGTTTTTTTGTTTCAGATGATTTTTGAAGAAACGCCAATGGGTACCGTTTACCCGGATTTTTTTACGGCGCTCCAAAGATTATACCACAACCTCGTCAATTTTTTATTTTTTTTAATAAAAAAAATTGGACATATTCCTGAATGTGTATACTTTTAGATAGAAAAACCCCCAATCCGAAATTTCAAATAGTTTTCCTTAAAAAAATTCACAAAGATAACCTTTTTTTCCGGCTCCTAGGTGTATATCTCCCCTTAAAGTAGGCTCTATCGACACGTTCTTGCACGAGAAATAATTTTTCTATCTGATAAAATCGTTGCTCTCTACTGCAAAGCGAGATATTAGCTGACAAAGTTGACTATTAAAGTTAAGAAAACTGTCACACCGATGACAAATAGCGAGATATATATGCTCCGTAGCCACTTGCGCATTTCCTAGAGTTTTAGAAATATTAATAAAAAGGTATCTATCTCTAGCCATGTGACAGGGAGTCTTTGCCCTCAAGATCCCCCGCACCGCGGCGAATTGGGGACCGTATTGGGGACTCTTTTGTGAGCTTAAGCACGGTGAGCAATTGAACGATGGGCAATTGAACGACGGGCAATTGAACGGCGGGCAATTGAACGGTGTGCACCTTCCTATATCCAAATAAAAAATGGGTAATTAAACGGTATACAAATTAACGGTCGGCAATTGAACGATGCGCAACTGAACGGTGAGCATTTTCTCGCGTGTCCAAGAACAACTGTGTCTAATTGAACCGTATGTAAAGTTTCGTGTCCATTTGCAACGTGTCCAATTGTACTGTGTCCAAATGAAAGCCACTTCTTGAGTTCTTAATAGGCCATTATTTTTTTCTCTCTTGATTTTAATAAAAAAAGCTATAACTTCTTTATTACTATTTTTATTTAATTAAACTTATTACTAATAAATTATTAAAAGATTATTAAGATAGATTTTTAGTCATGTATTTGCATTAAAAAGTGTGAGTATTTCACATTGCGCTTTATTTTCATAGAATCGAAAAAATTACATATTTTTTTGTCGCCAAACAAATCGTTTTTGAAAAGAATAAAAAAATTGATAATAGACTCTTTTTTAAGTTCAATTTCTCATTGATCACGTTTTAAACTATTTTATCTCTCTTTTTTGTAAACAAAATACAGATGTTTAAAAACAATTATTTTTTTCCAAAATTTTTCATTTTTTTTCAAAAAATCTGTTTTAATAAAAATTAAAATCTACGAATTTCTAACCAACATCATCATAATTTTGAGTTTTCCTCCTTTTGATTAAAAAGAAAATGTTTAAATTAATTTAAAAAATTCAGCTCGAGATATGAGTCGACAAAGTTTGCAGGTCACGCTAACCCAAGTGTGCAGTGATCGGGAGAATAATATAGTGTGTAGGCAGAGAGTTAACAATACAAAGCATGAAACAATTTAAATTAATCATAAAAAATATTATGTGATATTAATAAGGTCACTAAAAGCTAAGTGCTGACGTTCGTGCCAATATAATATAATGGGAGAGGATAATAATATTTGCAGTTCACATCGGCACGAACATCAGAACTTAGCTCTTAGTGGCTTTATAAATATCATATTAGTTTGGTTTTACCATTGTAAAGATACATGTAGTATGATATTCTAAAGATGTTTAATTCTAAACATGTTTAAGGGGAGATATACACCTAGCATGGTCGAAAAAATCGATTTTTTTTTTGCATTTTCTTGATGCTTGAGGTCTCAAAAATATCTGGTTAAAATTGCAAGTCAATATCTCGATAAATAACGAAGTTACAGCCGAGAGAGTAAACCGTCTCCGAGAGCGCGCCGTACCGCCTGTTTTGCGGCCGAGCCGAGAGGCAGCGAC